CCCCTGCCTGCAACTGACCTGCACGGCGCCTTGCTTACTTCATAGTGGGTGACCATCTGGGGCAAGACAGCAGAACAGGAGCTGAAACTCCGACTGCCACACCTGGCACCCACCTGGAAGGAGCGACACGACATGGCAGAAGAGAGGGGCAGAGAAGAAGAACTCTGGAGGGGAGCACAGGAGACAGGATTGACCAAGCCATGATTTCGTCCACCCCTTTTTATCTGGTAAGGAGATGGAAGGCTGAGCTGGGTCAAACCCCCTAATGACCATTCAATGGGGTTTTATGAGCTTGGAATATTGGCAGCTGCTAAGTAGCAAGATGGATAATTAGGGTAGCAAAGAGCAAAGGGGAGCCAATGGTTAATGCTGGTGGGTCCCATAAAAAATCATATTTGTCCTCTTTCCCTGTTTATGGAGGTAATAAAGGAGCCAACTGGACAGAGACGTTTGTGGTATCCAGTGGCACAGGCTTGAGGAAAGGGGGAATGAGTCTGCGTGACGTCATAGGAGGGGGCCGAGGGGGAATCAAGTGCACACCTAACTTCCCTGGGATCCTAGTGCAGTTAGACTTGCTGAGAAAGTTCTCCTTGCCCAAGACTATCTCTGTCTCTCCACAGATCCTTCAGACCCAGGTGCCCTCCACGGGCTCCTAGTAGCAGGAGATGTTCCCTAGAGTGTAAAGCTTTCCAGGGAGAGAGAAGCCTCCTTACAGCAAGCAGGGCCTTCTTTCTCCTCAGAATAGGTAGAGCCCTGAAGCTGGTACAATTCTCCCCCCACCCTCCCCCCACTAAGGGTTCTGAGGGTGAGTGGACTGCTTTTTAGCCCCATTAGGCTAAAAAAGACCGGAAGGGACTGGAGAGGCGAGACTTGACCTTGAGGACTGGAGAAGAGATGTTTTCCTCTGTACCCTGTGGTCTCCTGAGCATGGTTACATTGAGTTTGGGGTTCTGTGATGCTGTCCAATGCCTCACAGAAGAGGCACCAGCTCTGGCTGGAGGACCTCTCTGGAGACAGTTTTACTGTGAGGAATGTTCAGAGTAGAACTGGTATTCAGACTTACTTCTCAGCATTTGTCTCAGATGTAGCTCCTTGAAAATGCCAGCAGCCCCTCTCCACATCTTTTTTCTCTTCTTTCTGTCTGTCTGAGCCACGTAACATCTGCTGAGCTAATTGGTCTTGTCCTATTACTCTGAGATTTGTTTCTAGGTCAAAAACAATGCTAGCACTGGTTTACAATAATAATAACCCTGATATGGAGTTTGCTATATGCGAGAATCACCTTGGGCTCTTTTTAATTTCTTTTTAAAAAAGTATCTTTAAGTAGTTGCACAAGGAGTTTTAACATGTCAGTATGTGAATACAATGCATCTTGATCAATGTCACCTCTTTTATCATTCTCCCCATAATTCCCAACCCCATCCCTCCCCTCAAGTTACCTGGCCTCATTTATGTACATTGAATATTATGATTTCATTTGCCCAATCTTCCTCTCCCCTTGAACTTAGTCCCTTTCAAGAATTCATTTGGGGGGCTGGGAAGGTGGCTCAGTGGTAGATCGCTTGCCTTGTATGCCTGAGGCCCTGGGTTCAATTCCTTAGCACCACATAAGAAAAAAGAAAAAAGCCAGAAGTGGCGCTGTGGCTCAGTGGTAGAGCGCTAGCCTTGAGCTGAAGAGCTGAGGGACAGCGCCCAGGCCCAGAGTTCAGGCCCCACGACCGGATTCCTCCCCCCAAAAAGAATTAAACTGCAAGTTAGTTGTTTAAAGGATTTGTACCATTGGAATCCTCCCCCCAGACTACACAATACTTTAAGCATATGATTGTGTATGTGTGTGTACACATGTGTGTGTGTGTGTGTATATATATATATATATGCCCTGTATATGTTTACCTATATATTTATCATTTTAATCTCACTACCACATATGAGAAAAAAACGTGTCCTTTGTCTCTCTGAGCCTGACTTGCTTCACTTAACATAATTTTTCCTAGGTCCATCCATTTCCCTGCAAATGACATAGCATCATTCTTCCTGCTGGATCTAGAAGGAAGACTCAGAAATAAACACATATACAGCTATCTAATATCTGATAAGCAAACCAAAAATATATGTTGGATAAAATACAAGCTCGGTTTGTTCACTTTGTTTGTTTGTTTGTTTTTGGTCTAACCTATGGCTTAAATGAACACAGAGCCTGGTTACTGCCCCTGCTCAAGGCTAACGCTCTACCACTTGGGCCACAGCTCCATTTCTGGTTTTTATTAAAAATAGTTTTTATTGGCCATAAGAGTCTCATGGACTTTCCTGCTCAGGCTGGCTTTGAATCCTGATCCTCAGATCTCAGCCCCCTTAGTAGCTAAGATTAGAGGCATGAGCCACCAGTGCCTGGCCAACCCTAGGCTCTTTATATCCATTATCCCATTGAATTCTTAAGAGAACCTCATGATGAAGTACCCTTTTTATAAGTAAAGAGAGTACAAAGAAACGTGTCCCCAAGTCACCCAGCTTGTCTGTGTCAAGGCTAGGAGTGAACCTTATTCTTTCTGACCATACTGTGTTCTGCTGCTGCAGAAAACAGAAGCTTGAGTTAGGAAAAGGAATCTGCCACCAACAGGTTTTATATTCCTCTCCTTTGCCACCCATGGATTAGGAGACTGGCTCTCAGAAGTTTTTTGTGACTTGGAAGTTGTTCTACTGTGTCATTTTATACTGACCACTTTTTTCAAGTCTTGATTTGGGGTGCTAGAATACAAGGTATAACAGGAGACTAGACATGTGAAGGCAGAGGCTGGAGTAGGCATGGTTGTGGCATGGTGTGGGGGTGGGGGGAGAACATGTTCACTCTGCAATAGAAAAATGTTCATGGTTATAGCCCTACTGAGAATCCCAATGAAAGAGAAGACACGCTACAGACTTAATAGTAGGCAAAGCTATACGGAAAGCTTCACCAAAACCATGTGGATACAGGAGAGGGCCTTACATCATCTTTAGGGCAGATGATGGTCTCAGTGACTGTGTATGTGGTTCCCAGGAACTCAGGACCAGAGCCTCAGGAGCAGGAGGGAGGTCAGTTCATTAGGTTCCTGATGGACAGAAAGCTCCTGTGCCCAAGAATCTACCCATTCTATGGTTGTCCTCTGAGTAAAAGACAAAACAGACTCAGCCACAACTTAGCATGCTCAGTGATCTTTTATTGGAACTATTTCAGGAAATAGGCAAACATAAGAGGTGTGGGACATGGGGAGGTTTGACTGGTGTTCTAAACTGTTATGTCTTCGCACAGCCCTGCCAGCAGACAGCCCCATTGCCCTTGAGATGCATGTTGGTCTTGAACTCATGGCAGGTATATAAGGATATACAATTCTTCAGATGAAACAGAAAGATGGCCATGAAGGCTAACTTCACAAAGATTGCAATGTAGTACCGTCTGGGCACAGGTGAGGCCCCACAGTACAGAGGAACTTCAGAGGCTGGGAGAAGAGGAGAAGGAACAGGAAATATTGGAGAGAAAGAGAAGGAAGGAATGAAAAGCACAGAGGAAAGGTGGACCCTTAGAGACCAGAGATACAGTAGTGACCGAGCATGAATAGAAAGTGGAGCAAGGGCCAGCGAGTAGGTGGAAAGGGGCAAGGGAAACAGAAAAAGAACTTTCCAGAAGAGAGATGCGAATAGCACAAAGGAAAGTGAAAGAGAATGGAGCTTGGAACATTCTGGAGAATCCAGAGGCCTGCAGTAGCTCTTCACACAGGATGATTAACTTCTTTCTCTGCATGTATTTTGGGGTTCAGTTTCCTCCCCATACTCCCAACTGGAATCTGACTTCCACCTCCCACCACCAGGACATTTCTGTTAGGATTAGGGCTTCAATAATGCTGATTTGGGGAGGAACTTGGCTATGACTTACTAGTTAATACAGCCAAAGGTCTGGAGAATGTGTGTGTGTGTGTGTGTGTGTGTGTGTGTGTGTGTGTGTGTGGCAGTACTGGGGTCTAGGCACTGTCCCTTAACATTTTGCTCAAGGTTGACATTTGAGTTGCAGCTCTACTTTGGCTTTTGGATGGCTAAGTAGAGATAAGAGTCCCATGGATTTTTCTGCCTACACTGACTTTAAACTGTAATCTTCAGACCTCCGCCTCCTAATAGCTAGGATTATATGGGTGAGACAGAGGCTCCCAGCAACTTTTGAGTTTTTGATAAAATTATTCCATTTTAGTATGAGTAATCGAGAGCTGATTTTTTTTCATTACTGTTTTGGAGCTATTGAGGATTCAACCCAAAGCCTTGAACAAGCACTCTGTGTCTCCAGTCATAACCCTACCGCCCCTCCTCACTAATTTTGTGCTTCTTGTCCTTGAACCCTCTATCCTTCTGCCTTTGCCTCCTGTAATCCTGGGATTACAAGCATGCACTACCACAGCTGACTAAGAGTTGATAGTATTTTGAAGAGGATGGCTTCAAACATTCTGTTGGCGGGGACTGTCAGGGAAATTGCCTGGGGTAAGGACAACACAGGAAGGGAAGAGAGAATGTGTAAGGCAAGGTTTGCAGCCATCTTTCCTGGTCTGAGGGCCCATAGGAAGTGTTTGGTCTTCTTCGATTGCCTTTGACTTCCCTGAGGGGCACTGAGGCCAATTCTAAGGCCCCGTGTAGGACTGAGCAAAAAGGACATTTTGTGGTTTCAGGAATCAGACAGGAAGAGAAAAACTCTATGCCCAGCCCCTTGAGGGAAAAATCCTAGCAGAAAGCAGTCTAGTCAGTGTGGGTAGGAATGAACCCAGGAGGGTTCTGAGATCAGGACCAGGTGGAGTACTTCTGCAGGGAATCTGTCTAGAGGCAAAGAGGCTGACCGAGGCAATCTTAAAAACTGCAGGCCACTTACATGCCCCATGCCTCCTGCTATGAATTTTGCACATGGGGTGTTGGCAAAGCATCAGGCCTCAGGGCTAGGGAAACTCATGGCATCGGGGTAGGGGTGGCAGGCAAGCCAGACAGGCCCCTTAGCTTCTGTAACTCTTCTTGGTGGATGACGTCTTGGAGATGATACGCATGCTAGAGCTGCTGCCACTGACACTGCGACCACTAGTGGAGCTGAAGCCGCTGCTCCCGCCACTGTAGCAGAGGCCACTGCCACCACTGTAGCCACCCCCACCCACACAGAGGCCGCCACCACCACTGTAGCCCGTGCCCCCGGAGGATGAGACCACAGCTGCAGAGAAAAGAAGGACACAATGAGCATGGACTCAGGCACCACTGGTTCCTTAGGTACCCTGATCCCTCCCACGGCATCTGGCTCCAGGCAACCCTGTCTCCCCCAGGAGCCTAGGACAGCAGTCAGCTCTGAGACAGCAAGGCGCAGGGGTTGGCCTGGCTGCATACACCTGTCACAAACTGCCTTAGAGCTTTGTGACTGCCACAGCTATAACCACATTGATCCCAACGGGCCCAAGGGGATGCCATTATGACACCGACCCCCTTCCCCCACACTGTAGAGAATGAAAGATGGAAGTACAAGGAGATCAGCTGATATGTCCAAGATCATGCCTGCCAGAAAGCAGGGCTTTAGGCTCCTGTCTCCCAGTGGCCTCTTATGTTGGATGGAATAGAAAGTTTCAGATTTAAAGAAGGGAACATCGACTCCCATGTTGAAACAGGTCCAAAGGCTGTCCTGATGAGCCTTACTTCAGTGTTGACATAGAGAGGCAACTCTCTAACATTGGCTCCCTGAGGAGTTTGCTCCCTGGGAGGCAGAACTCCCGGCCTGTCAACACTCGGAGCCTTTGCCTGACCTTTCCTGAGGGTTTGAGAAACTTTCCTGCTCCTATTGCTAGTCTGACCCACTTGGGGCCGAAAGTGTTCACATGTATGCCCAGAATTCAACACTCCATTGTGCTACCTCAGATGCCAGGCTTTCCCTAGGTCCTTCCCAGCCTGGGGTGGGAAGATACACTAGGATTATTCCTCCTGCTCTCCTCCTGGTGGTCAGTTGGGGCTATTCCATGCCAGTATCTGTTCTACTTGTCCAATTCATTTGCTTCAGTTCTAAAGGTGGTGTTTAACCTGCTTCACAGCCTCCTGTTAGTGTGAATTCTCAGCTGCCAGGTTAGCTGAGAAAGTCGGGTACTCTAACTAGGGCCTCCAGGCTGTTGGAGTAGTCTGATCCCATGAAGGATCTTTGGGGTTAGACTGGAGTCACATTCCAATGGAGTTCCCTAAGAGATCATTCCAGAAGGAAAGGAAGTCACTGAGCTCAACACCTGCTCCCCACTTAGGGACAGTGAATGTTCTTGTCCAGAGTTTACTCTTGACCCCTCTGAGAAGATGGGCCAAAGAAGACAGAGGTCTGCAGAGAACCCCTAAGAGGACTTGCATGACATCTGTGTCATGCCATTAGTGATTGCTTTAGTGCATCCTTATTAGTGAGTCTACTGGATCCCATGTTACTTCTGGATTTTCTATCCTCCCAAGACATTTACTTACAGATGTTCACAGCTCCAACGCCTTCTCCTGTGAGTCTGTGGCATGCAGGGAGAGAAGAAGACATGTCATTGTTGGGAAGTTAGAGAACCCTGGGTTCTTTGTATGGGCAGTGTCAAGTACAACTGTGTATTTGCCTAACCAGTATCACACTCATCAGCTTTACAATACTATGCAAATTATGTGAGGGGAAATGTACAGCAGAGCACAAGTCAAGATACACAGAAAAGTTCCTGTAATCCTAGCTACTTAGGAAGCCAAGATCTGAGGATCACAGTTCAAGGCCAGCCAGGGAATTAAAATTCATGAGATCGCTGGGAAGGTGGCTCAGTGGTAGAGTGCTTGCCTTGCATGCTCAAGGCCCTGGGTTCGATTCCTCAGCACCACATAAGCAAAAAAGAAAAAACCGGAAGTGGCACTGTGGCTCAGGTGGTAGAGCGCTAGCCTTGAGCTGAAGAGCTGAGGGACAGCGCCCAGGCCCAGAGTTCAGGCCCCATGACTGGACCAAAAAAAAAAAAGTAAAATTCATGAGATCTATCTCAACTAATGGCTAGGTATGTTAGCACATGCCTGTCATCCCAGCAATGAAAGGAAGCACAAATAAGAGGATTGTAGACCAGTTGGCATCAAGGGGGAACATATCTCAAAAATAAACAACACATATAGCGATAATAATAGAATGACAGCCTAGCGACTGTGAGGGCCTGAGTTAAAATCCTAGCACCCCACCAGAAGGAAAGATACATCAGATTGCCAGCATCTCTGGGGAGAGGACTTCATGAGCCCTGGCTTTCCAGAGGTCACAACCGGCAATTCCTGAACTTTGACCCAGGCCCTGCTCTGAGTGCAGTGGTAGTTGTGGGGAGAGTTGTGACCAGAGAGAGCCTCTAAAGGATCAGCCACATTCCCACCTGTTTCTAACTCTGGACTTTCTACCCAGAGACCTCACTGGAGCCCTGTGGGCTCCTGTGGCCTTGGGCATGCTATCATTCTCTGGTGACAACAATTTGGGCCATGGTGGGAGCAGAAGGTAGCCCACCTGCACTCTTCGCCCTCCAGCAGCTTCCTGTAGGTGGCAATCTCAATATCCAGTGCCAGTTTGACGTTCATCAGCTCCTGGTATTCTTTGAGTTGTCGTGCCATGTCCTGCTTGGCCTTCTGCAGGGCCTCCTCCAGCTCTGCCAGCTTATTCTTGGCATCCTTGAGGGCCAGTTCCCCGCGTTGCTCAGCATCAGCAATGGCCGCCTGGAGTGAGGCACACTGCCAGCAGAGATAAGAGTTTATGACACTGGGGCTAGGAAGGTTGCTCCGTGGTACAGTGCTTGCCTTGCATGCATAAGGCCCTGGGTTTGATTCCTCAGTACCACATAAGCAGAAAAAGCCAGAAGTGGCTCTGTGGCTAGTGCTGCCTTGAGCTGAAGAGCTGAGGGACAGCGCCCAGACCCAGAGTTCAGGCCCCACGACCACCACCAACAACAACAAAAAAGAGTTTGTGACACTTCTCACAGAGAAGGCAGAAAGATGTGGGCTTTAGGTTAAAATACAAAGAATTCTCTGAAATGGATTTCATGCACAGGGCTGGTACATCGTATTTTTTTAAAGAACAATAAAACCTCATTTCCATGTCTTGGAGTTCATTTTGCTTAGCCTCATCTTATATGGTCCTATGTACATAGCTATTGAGCTATTCTGCTCATCTGCTAGGACTATCCTAGACTTATACTAATTATTACAAATGAGGGAAACCATGAGATCTATGTTTCTTTGGGTCTGGCTTACTTCAATTAATATGCTTTTTCCCCCAAGTCTTTCCAATAATATCTTTTTTCTTTTGTGTTTTTTCCCCTGTGGTTTATACCCTGTTGTCATTGTATTTGATTTTGGTACCCTGGGTATATGTAGTTATCTGAATTAAGGAAGGAAAGGGAAACAACAAAATGCTGAGACAAAGACCAAAGGGTGAACCATGCAACAGCATAGTCACAAGACAATATGCTGGAAATGAACTGTACAACTTGGGATTGGGAGGAAGGGAAAGTGGGACAAAAATGAGGGAGGGAGTAACAAGTTTGATAAGAAATGTACTCATTACCTTACATATGTAACTGTAACTCCTATGTACATCACCTTGACAATAAAATTAAATTTTTTAAAAAAAGGGAGAAAAGAAATTGCTCACTATATTCCTGTGGCTCATACCTGCAATCCTAGCTACTCAGGAAGCTAAGATCTAAGGATCATGGTTCAGAGACAATCCTGGGCAGAAAAGCCCATGAGACTCTCATCTGGTTAGTAACCACCAGAAAACCAGAAGTAGTGCTGTGGCTCAAGTGGTAGAGTGCAAGCCTTAGACAACAAAGGTCAGTGATAGCACCCAGGCCTTGAATTCAAGCTCCAGCACTGACATCAAAAATAATAAGTAAATGAATAAATAAATAAATAATCACTTCTGTCCCTCTTGGATAATTTAGCCCTCATCAGGATGGAGAAGGGGGTTTTCTGAGGTCCTTCCATGTTGGCCTTCTCTGAACAGTGGGTAATTAAAGCAGGCCAACTGTGACCTTCTGGGGCTCTAGAAAAAAGGGTCACTCTTGGAAGGGCACACAAATTCACTGTCAGAGAGATTTCTCTTGCATTAAGCTAAGTTAGGCCCAGACCAGGTCTGGACCTAAGGTGGGGGAAGGGATTGGATGACCTTTTGGAACTCAGCTGTACCTGCTTCTTCAGGTTTTCAATCTCAGAGCGCAGCCTCTGTATGGCTCGATTCAGCTCCGAGATCTCTGTCCTGGTGGTGCGTAGGTCATCTCCATGCCGGCCAGCAGATCGCTGCAGCTCCTCATACTGGAAGGATGGAAGGCAAGGAGTAGGGGATATGCTCAGCAGGTGGGAATAGGCAGTCAGGGGAAAGAAGGCTGGGTATCACTAGGGCCCTGCAGCCTTTGGATGTGCCACTTGAAGAATCTTGGCTCTGCCATTCTCCATCCTGTCAAATTCATCCTTATTGTCTCTTGTTTCCCCCCTTTTCCTGGGCCTGGCTTGTGTTCCCTTTCCCTCCATTCTATGTAACTCAGCCTCCCAAATCAGCAGGAGACTCATCCTTTTCACAATCCCCGATCAGGAAATTCCTTTGCAATTGTCTAAATACTGAATTCATCAACCTCTGTGACCTGGAACTTAGTGACTGCTCTAACCAGGAAATCTCATTCTGTAATCTATATTGAGCCTTTGTCTCTCAGAGCCTTAGCTCCAGTCTAGTGCTTTAGAAAGCACTAACCCATCTTGCTGACCTCCCAGCCTCTCTTCCTCTTTCTGGTACTGATGGCTGGAAGTGTTCAGTTGTACCAGGTTGTCAGATATAGAGCAATGAGTGTGTGCCATCCATCATGGCAGAGTGACAGATCATTTGCCCATGCCTGCCTCTTCCCTTAGCTCCTGAGGTGCCTGGTCTGGTCTCCGGGCTGGTTTAATTAATTTGACCTTGATGTCTCACCTTGGTCTGGTACCAGGACTCAGCTTCAGCCCGACTACGGTTGGCAATGTCCTCATACTGAGATTTGACCTCTGCAATGATGCTGTCCAGGTCCAGGTTGCGGTTGTTGTCCATGGAGAGGACGACAGAAGTCTCGGAGATCTGAGCCTGAAGCTGGGCCAGCTCCTGTGATCAGGACCAAAGGGGAGAGTTAAGGAACGGCAAGTGTGTGTGTGTGTGTGTGTGTGTGTGTGTGTGTGTGTATAACACATATATGAATTGGGAGACAGTGACCCATCCAGAACAGGCCCTGGCAGGTAGGCTTTTGCACTGTTGGAGTAGAGCTTAATGCTTTGGCCTGAGAAGCCCATAAAAGAACATTATTTTGCAGTTACCCTGTATCATCAGCTCATCTACCCAGGAGAGCAGTAGTACAGGTAATGAAAGCCAGAATTATCCAGAAGCTACTGACATTCTGCCAAGGGAACACATCATGGCAACAGTCAGTGCTACGATGTCTCACTCTAAGAAAGCTCAGCCCCTCACACCAAGTAAGGACATGATTTGTCCAGAGGAGTGGCACAGATCTGCAACATCCCATCCTGTTCCCCATCCCCCTAACTTCAGTGATCTCTGTTCATTTGGGATGGGAAAAGAAGGGCCCCAGACTAAAGGCTGAACCAGTTTAGATGGTGTCCTCTGAGTCTCAGAGTAGCTAAACACCATTCTGGGCTTGAGCAACTTCTGTGATGAAGTCATGCTCAGACAAGATAGATTTTTTTAACAGCAAACCTATGATTAATTTGTGTGTGATCTCTTTTCAGAGTTACCCAAGGAGTGGTTCTCAAATATAACCTTAGATCGGCAGCAGGAGCCTCCCCTGCCCAGAAGCTCAGTTGAGATGCAACATTCTGACCCCTTAGCTTCATCCTAGCAGGTTAACAGAATGGTCAGAGCATTTAATGCTATGGAGACTGGGAATGATCAAAGTCAGAGTATCCTTTGGCCCTCCTTATTAGGAACTGGTTGATCCATTTCCTACAATTTCCTTCTCCCAGGTAATTTCTTCCTGCAAGGTCTTAGAAAATGGGCCTGCTGGGTAGAGGACCACCACAGAATTAGTCAGTGTCACACTGATGATCACGTGAAGAAGGTATGCAGGATAAAGAAGCCATTTTCCCCTCCCTATGGGTTGTGAGTTGTTCACTGAGCCCACCCAAGGAGTCAGAACCACCATACCTGGTCCTGAAGCAACATGCCAGAATTCAGTTTGGCACTAACCATAACTAACGCTATGGGCACATCACCTCTCCCATCCGGAGGTACACAATCCAACCTACAACCTACCTCCATACCACTGTCCTATCTCCTCATTCTACATCTCCCCTCACCATACTAACCATGCTGCCTGGGTGGGGAAGGGGGAAAGGGGGAACAATACTAGTATTACAATTCCTGTGCCTCATGTCTTCTTGACTCATGGCCTAAATTCCTTCAGATTTCTTGTCACATGTCACACACACACACACACAGCTGTCTTTTCTATCTCTATTGTCAGCTTTCTTCATTGCCCTCATCACAGCAGAAATGCAATCATCTTTGCCTGTCTCCACAACTACCGTGAAAGACCTAGGAATTTAGGAGCTTCATTGTGTGTGTTCAGTTCTGTCCCTGTATGCTGAGCATCCTCAAGGCAAACAGGCTGCTGTACCAGGCACTCACAGAAGCACCTGCAAGGCTCACGAATTGCCACTTGATTTGCATAATCGTTTCACTCGGTCGGTCGTCTGGGAAGAGCTGCCGGTTGGGTTAGGCTGGGTGGGGCTGGGCTAAGGGAGCCAGGTGTCTCAGATAGTTCTGTGGAACTACATGCATTTGGATGCTTTGTCTCTCTTTATCCAGCACTTGGTCCTAGTGGGCAAAGCAGCTATTTGTTTGTTATTTTACCTTTTCTGATCTGCCAGTTACCCCCAGAGCATCTCATTTTTTTCCCTGGTAGGGAAAGCATCCACTCCATCAATTATAACCTGCAACTGTGATGAACAGCTAGGTGCAGGACAAGGAAAATCCCAGCAGCTTCTGTGTCCCCCTCCCTGCATTGCCCACCCCCACCAACCCTCACGACTAGGGAGCCCCAAACCCTCTCACCGCCTCATAGAAAGCTCTCAGGAAGTTGATCTCGTCCACCAGGGCATCCATCTTGGCCTCCAGCTCTACTTTATTCATGTAGGCAGCATCCACGTCCTGGGCACAGAATATACCACCTGCTCATTAGCTACATGGATAGATCTCCTTACGTCACCTCCTGCACTGTCCATGCTAAGCCTCTGGGCTCCAGTGTCTTTGTCTGCCATAGTGTCCTACTCTACCTGGATCCCTTTCAGAAGCTGCTTCTCTTCCTCCTCCAATGGTGTCTCAGAGTATATTGTTCCCTTTCTTTGTTGGTCCCATCAAGTAGGAAGACCCAGACCTCTGTGGCCTGGTCCCTGTTCTGTCCTTGTCCCCTGAGCTCAGGCTAGGTGCATGGCTCAAGTAGGCTCCATGTCCAAGGGACTAAGTTCAGGACAATGCCCACTTTCCTGTCCCCATCTCTCCATTGGACTCTGTATAGGGAGAGGCTGGTGCCATAATCCACAGTTCAGTATAGGAGTCCTGGATCCTGATCTGTTCTGATTATTTGAGTAACCTGGGCAATCCACTTGATCTGCCTGAGCCTCAGTTTTCTGATGTTTTTCTTAAAGAACTCTGGGCTTGGTCATTGTCCCTGGGCTCCTTTTGCTCAAGGCAAGCACTCCACAACTTGAGCCATAGTACCACTTCTGGCTTTTTCCGAGATTTAATTAGAGATAAGACTTTCCTGCCTAGGCTGGCTTTAAACAGTGATGCTCAGATCTCAGCCTCCTGAGTAGCTCTGATTATAGGCATGAGCCACCAACATCTGGCAGTTGTCTGACCTTTAAAGTAAAACTTAGCCAAGCATTAGTGGCTCACCTATAACTAGCTACTCAAGAGGCAGAGATCTGATTGCAGATTGAAGCCAGCCCAGGAAAGAAAAATCTGTGAGACTCTTGTCTCTAATTAACCTCCAAAAAGCTGGAAATCGCACTGTGGTTAGAGTGCTAGAGTGCTAGCCTTGAGGGAAAAAAAAAACTCAGGAACAGTGTCCAGGCCCTGAGTACAAGCACAAATAATGGGAAATAAGGGGAGAGAGAGAGAAAGAGAGAGAGAGAGAGGAGAGGGAAGGAAGGAAGGAAGGAAGGAAGGAAGGAAGGAAGGAAGGAAGGAAGGAAGAGAGGGAGAAAGGAAGAGAGGGAGAGAATGGAAGAAAGAAAGAAAAATAGTAAAACTTGTTTCCACAATTTCTTGTGCAAATTAGACTCTTGGTCAGCCATGCTACTGGCTCAATTGGCAGCTCTGTGTCCTCCAGAGAGCCTGGAATCAGCAGGTGCATCTGCCTCCTCACCTTCTTGAGCACCACAAACTCATTCTCTGCTGCGGTGCGTCGATTGATTTCCTCTTCATACCTGTAGGAAGAGCAGAGAAGAGTGGGTATCTGGGAGTGAGGTCAGAACATGAGATTGCAGGTGGACAGATAAAGAATGAGGCTTCTAGAGCAGGCTTGGACTATCACCCTGTACATATATGTCCTCAAATTCCAAATCAACAAATAGCCCCTACTCAAAACCAAACTAAGCAGAAAACAATGCAACAGACCCACCTCTGAGGCGGATTCTTCCTGAAATATCTTGGACTTTCTGGGACCCCCAAAGAAGCATGCATGCTTCTTGTTTTACAAAGAGACTTGTCCTGTCTCAAACAGGTAGTGAGAGGAAGAGCAGGGAGAGCTGGGGAGATTGGAAGTCCATGAGGCTGGGGACCTCATGATGATCTCTGTCCACACACTGTTCTCAGACACACTGAACTAAGGTTAATGGGAACCTCTCTTCCTCCTCTTCCTCCTCCCTTCTTCCTCATTCTTTAATTTGCCCTAGGTAGCAATCCAACTAGGGACATATGGCAGTGCCCCTGCTTGCCAGCCTTGGAGAAGAAAGTCTACTCTTCGCTCCATGTGACCATACCACCCACCACCGGGGAATCCCACCCCCTTCACTGCACTGGGCTCCTCCACCTGCAGGCTGAGTGACCTTGCCAGGTCCTTTAGCTTCTCCAATTCTGTTCCAGTTAATAAAGCAGCAGGGTATATTCTTGTCAAGCCACAAAGTATAACATGAGTGCATCATGAGCAGTCAGGATCACTCTGCTTTCCCATTGTCTCTATTACCCAGTGGGTCTGTGCAAATCTTTCCCATCATCAGCCTCTCAATTCTGGGCCTTCTCCATGTTCTCTGGGAAAGCCAAGGTGGCTGTCCCGGTTATCTCCTTTTAAAAAGGAAATGTGAACATGTTTCTTCTTCACCTACCTTCTCACAGCTATCCTGGCCTTTTCTGTTTCTCGGTTCATGCTTCCCCTGATACACAGGACTTAGATCTCACAGGAACACTGCATGGTGGTGAACCAGGAGCACCATGATTTAACAGAGCCTCCCTCATCCCTCCCCTGTGCCTTCTTATCTCTCAGCCTTAAGCTTTAGACTCCTTCTCCAGGAAGCCTTCTTAGATAGAAACACTGTCACCCTGTGTTTGCATATATATTATAAATTACCCATCTACATTCACTTCTTTCATCTGGAACTATATCAACACACACACACACACAAACACACACACACACGCACACACACACACACACACTGAGAAACTTCCTACATGACAGTCATAGTCATCTTAGCAAGTGCTTCTCACAATTTTTTTAATGCTCTTAACCCCCCTTATGGGGTAGGCATTACTGATATCCCCTTGAACAGACCAAGAAACTGGGGCTTAGAGCAGGTGAATATTTTTCTTATGGTTATCTTGCTGGTAAGCACCATGGACTAGGTTCTGTGGCACTGTCTGATAGAATTTTCCTGCAACAATGGGAGCACTCTATGTTTTCATTCACTACAGAACCCATTTGTAGTGATGGAGCACTTGAAGTATGGCTAGTCCGACTGAGGGGTTGGAATTTAGGTTTTATTTGTGGCACCATGTTCAATAGTGTGACTAAGCCTGGAGCTTTTACTGCATTATACAAACTGTAACTAAGGCTAATTACCAAGTTACTAATTTTGGTTGGGTCAAAAGAAGTAGAAGTCAGTTAGAACAAGGAAAGGGAGTAAAAAAGCAATAAAAACTAAAAAGTTATGATAGTCACTAGTACAGAAGTATACATGCTTCATGCAGAGTTTGTGTGCATACACACTTGTGTGTAACTGTGCATGCATGTATGGGAGTGTGCATAAGTGAGTGTGTGTAGGTGTGCATGTGTGCAAATGTGTTGCTGTGCTGTGCACACGTGTGAGCATGTACAATAGTGTGCATGTCCATGCATGTGTGAGTGTTGCACTGATGTACACTGGTGAGTGTATGCACTAGTGTGCATGGTGTGAGTGTGCATATCCATGAGTATGTACATGTATGTGCATGCATGTGTGCATATAAGTGCACATCTGTGCATATGTTCATGGCTGTCGGTGTGAGTGTGTATATCCATGTGTCTTGAGAGAATGCACACAAATGTCTCCCTCTTCTCTGCCCCACATACCTCCTGGTTGGGGTACATGCATGCTCATGGCAAATGAGCATTTAATTGACTAAGTGAGGAGTGGGATTCTCCAGGCCTAATGTTTTACTTGTGAGTTGCCACATTGCATAATTGACTCCTACCTTTCCTGACCTGCAGAGTCTGAAAGGCTGTGGGTGCACCCAGCTCTTGGTGGCCATGTTAGTCATCATCCTCAGAACCCCTTGCTTCTCCCTAAAACCTCAACATATTTTTTTGTTGGTCATAGGGCTTGAACTCTGGGCCCAGGTGCTGTCCCTGAGCTCTTCAGGTCAAGGCTAGCACTCTACCACTTGAGCCACAGTGCTACTTCCAGTTTTCTGGTAGTTAAAGCCTGCCCGGGCTGGCTTTGAACTGCGGTCCTCAGATCTCAGTCTCCTGAGTAGCTAGAATTACAGGCGTGAGCCACCGGTGCCCGGCAGCCTCAACATTTTTGACCATAGGGTCCCAAGTTCTATGTAAATGTCTGTTTGAGGTGTTCCATTTCCCATTACACTTGGCACTTCTGAAGAGCAGAATCCATTCCTCCTCTCTCTCTGGCCTCCCCACAGAGACAGGGGCAGGACTCTGGCCTGCCAGTGGCTAGCCCAGCACCCACTCACTTGTTCTTGAAGTCCTCCACCACATCCTGCATGTTCTTCAGCTCCGTCTCCAGCCTACCCCGCTCTCCTCCCAGGGAGTCCAGCTGCCGCCTCAGGTTGGTAATATAGGCTTCAAACATGGGCTCCAGATTGGTCCTGGTGATTTTGTGCTCTTGCAGGAGGCTCCATTTGGTCTCTAGAACTTTGTTCTGCTGCTCTAGAAACCGTACCTGTTCAAGTCAGAAGTAAGAGACTGTGAGGGCTCCTATGTAACACTCTCTAAGATTCTCCAGGATATCAGACCCTGTCGTCTCCCCCCCCCACGCCGTCCCCCCTGCCCTGGCCCACACCAATGGTGCAAATGGCTCTCCATGATCTCAGATTCTAGGTGTTAGACTCCTCCTCTTCTCCTTGACTGCAAGGAGTCTGCAAAGAAGACAGACAAGTGAATGTGGGTACAGTGGTCTTTGGGTTTTGTTTTGAAGGAGTAGAGATGACTAGGGGTTCTTTATTTGAACACACCAAACCATGCCAGTATGGGATCAGTTAAGAAAACAGCACTCCACCATCTTGTGACTGATGAAATTTTGATTTTTGTTAAATGGGTAGAAGGTGTGTGGCAGAAAATTCCATCCGGTCATTTTCTTTCTGACAAAAATCTCTCCTAACCCAGAATCTGGACTCATTGGCCTGTACACTGGAAGGGGTCACTGAGATGTGTGGCTGAGACCCAGGCACAATCGCATCTGTGTCTCTCACCATGAACAATCTCTCTCCTCTCTGTACTTTCTCAAGTCTTGTGGTGGTGTACTGTTAACTTGGTTTTGGTTGGTTTTTTTTTTACCTAGCCTGGATCTGCTCCTGAGTCTAGAAAGTATGCCTAATCTTACCCCCATCCATGAAGTCCCTCCACAGGAGGGCCTGGAATGCCATCTACCCCTGGAGAATAAAGGAAGAGGGCTTCCATGACTCTGGAGATGGCAGTGTCCCCCTACTGATGGCAGTTCTCAGGACAGTCTTGAAAGTGCCTCCTTTCCTCATTGTTGGAGGAAGAAAGATGTCTTCGCTTCATGTCCTTCCTACCCCACATCCCCTCCTGGTTAATCAGGGAAAAACAAGGTTCAGGACCTTCCTTTTATAGCAAGGCTCCTAGAACATCTCACCTCTGTTGATACCATCCAGACTAGGTAGAGAGGGACATGTGAGACAAAGCTAAAAAGCATTGGTTCAGTGCTTTGGTTGGGCAAGGAGACACAAGCCAGCAATCCCTGAAGGATTTGTCTCTCCCCTCTTGGCCTGATCATTTTTTGTATCTAAAGATGGAATATGAAGGATTGACCCCCACCCTCTTGTCCCAGGCCCATACAGACTCCAGGCAAAATCCCAGGTATGTGTGAACTCCTTTGAAGTGCAGACAGAGCAGTCCACCTAAGCCCAGATGTAAACATCCCATTGTGGGCCCAATTGAAAGGCCCCACCTTCCTTGACCTAGTGGCTTTTTCATTCACCTCTGCCTCCTTGCTCCGACCTCCTATAAAAACCCAGCTCCTGTCCCATCTCTCGGGCACAACCTCCAAACCCGTGGGAAGGTCTATGCCCCTTGCTGTTCCTCAATAAACAGTCCTTACCTGTTGATGATCGAGTCTGGCCTATTCCTTTTCCACTCTCCTCCATTTTCCTAACAATCCCAACTACTCATGAGACCTAGGTAGGAGGATTTTGATGCTAGGCCATCCCCAGAGAAAACCATGAGACCCTGTCCAGAAAAAACGGAAGTAATAAAAGGCCAGAGGTGTGGCTCAAGAGGAAAAGCATCTGCCTATTGAGAATGTATCCTTGAGGTTTTTTTTTCTTTTCCTTTCTAAAAAACCAAAGAACCAGTGTCCTTGTGATGTCCTTGGCTATGTCTCTACGTCAAATGATCTGCTCATGTGATAAAGCTTTTATAATCAAGGGGCCTGTGAGTCTATCTGTCCATCTGCCCAACTTATCTGAGAAATTTACTGGGGTTTCCCAGCAGAAATGGAACCGGTGCTGTACTTTCTCTTCCAGAATGCAACCTGGGAGATTAATTTTGATTTTTTTTTTTTTTTTGGTGCTGGTCCAGAGGCTTGAACTCAGGACCTGTACGCTGTCCTTGAGCTTCTTTTTACTCAAGGCTAGCACTCTACCACTTGAGCCACCACTCTACTTTTGGCTTTTTTTGGTGGTTTAGAAATTAGAGTCTTAGGCTGGGAAGGTGGCTCAGTGGTAGAGCGCTTGCCCTGCATGCATGAGTCCCTGGGTTCGATTCCTCAGCACATAAGCAGAAAAAAAATAACCAAAAGTGGCGCTGTGGCTAAAGTGGTAGAGCACTAGCCTTGAGCTGAAGAGCTGAGGGACAGTGCCCAGGCCCAGAGTTCAGGCCCCACGACCGGACCCCCCCAAAAAAAGAAAGAACGAAAGAAAGAAAGAAGAGTCTTATAGACTTTCCTGCCCCTGCTGGCTGTGAACTGTGATTCTCAGATCTCAGCCTCTTAAGTAGCTAGGATTACAGACGTGAGCCACCAGCGCCTGGCTTGGTTTTGATCTTTTGCTCCTCCCAGGCAAATGCACTCAGCTGAGAGTGCATGACAGAGTCTCTCCCCAAGCTGGGACTTCCTAGGACACTAGGTTTCAGGCAGGACTATAGCTGAAGTCACAAGTTTCTGCTCACCAAAGGATACATGTTAAGTACTCTGAGTGCCTCCCATTGTCTTTCCACTTCCCAGACATAGCTGTTCCAAGAGTAGGTCACCAGGAGATGCCCTTATCTTGGGAAGATACAGTTAAAACTAACTGTGCCAGAGATGCCAATGTCCATGAACTTGGAATCTATTTTTTTCCCTCTTTCCCTCAAGATTGATTCCCTCTGCTGTCTAGTTGTCAGCCAAGTTCACAATCACTGGCCATTAGGATTTTCTAATGGGTCACAGAGCTTCAGGGTCTAGGGATGGACATTTCCCTGCTTCCACCCCACCAGCAGACTGCCCAGCCTCCAGCTCAGCAGGCAGGTTTTGGGAAATCACAGATAAAACTCAGGAAAGCACAAATAAGCCATAGACCTTTAGAGAGCAGCTGCTTTTCAAAGGGGGTCTACACGTGCCCCTTACCTTGTCAATGAAAGAGGCAAACTTGTTGTTGAGGGTCTTGATCTGCTCCCTCTCTTCCTTGCGAACCCGCTGGAGAGAAGGGTCGATCTCCAGGTGCAGGGGGGTCAGGAGACTCTGGTTGACCGTAACTTCTTGGATGCCCGCAGCTCCAGGCACCCCTGGACCTCCAAATCCATACCCTCCATAGGCTCCTCCCATTCTGTACCCTATACCACCCAGCCCACAGGCAGCACCCCCAAAGCTGCCCCTGCTGGAGCGATAGCCCCCACTGACAGAGATTCTTTTGCTACCCCCCATGCTGTGCAGGCTCCTGGTCCCAAAGCCACCCCCAAAGTTGCCTCCAAAGCACTTCCCACTCTGGGATACAGAGACAGAGCTGAAGGCTGGCCGGCAGCCTGAGAGGAGGCTGGCTGAGGAGGCACTGAAGTTCCGTGTGCCCCCAGACTTAATGGTCACAGAAGATCGCTGGGCCATGGTAGGAGCCGGTGCCAAGAGAGCGAAGATGCAAAACTGTCTAAGGAACGAAGAGCCTTCACAGTTTAGCTCTCTGGGATTCTCCTTGTCTTTTATTCCTTGCAAGAACTGGGCTTGGTCAGAGGACATCAAAGACCACTCTGTTGAGTTCACCTCAATGGCATGTCTGGCCACAGTCCATTTTCTTACCCCACTAATCACTGGTGGAACACCCTACCCAGGGCAGGATCAGGCCTGGGGAGTCCAGCCTGGGGCAGGCCTTGGTGCCAAGAGCCTCACCACCACCCAGAGTCCCTTTTTTCCCATGTAGCTCCCTCCTCTAGTCTCAGGTCCTAGACTAGGACCCCAGCTATCTGACTGTTCCATTCTGGGACTCATGATTTTTTAAAGAAAAATTAAATCTGTTTGTTGAGGATTGATCTGTGTCATTCCATGTGACATGTCTGCTGCAAGCCTTATTTCAGCTAATTCTCATACTTCATGAGGGTAGATGATCAAACTAGTAATTACCAGCATTTTTTTTGGAGCAGGTAGCTCTGATGAATGGTTGCCCAGTAATCCAGCAACCATCTTCTTGTTTACCCTTCAACATTAGCTATTTTTGTTTCGTTGGCTGGTTTTGGCTTGGGGGGGGGGTGTTGTGCATTCGTGTGTGTGTGTGTGTGTGTGTGTGTATGTGTATAAATGCACATGCACACCCTTTTCTGTATATTTGTTATGTGTGTATGTGGTAGTATTGTGGCTTGAACTCAGGGTCTCATGCCCCTTTGGCTCTTTTGCTCAAGCTAGGATTCTACCATTTGAGCTACACCTCCCTTTCAGCTTTTTATTATTTAATTGGAGATAAAAGATGAGAGTCTCTCTGGATTTGTCTGTCCAGGCTGGCTTTCAGCCTTGATCCTCAGACCTCAGCCTCCTCCGTAGCTAGGATTACGGATGTAAGCCAGTACTACTGGGCAAACATCAGTTATTCTTGTTCTTGTTTTACATGTGAGGGAATCAGAGAATAAAGTAGCAACACAATGTGACTAGTGAATGTTGGGACTAATATTAAACCTGCTTGTCTGACCAGGTTATGTGCCTGGAATCTTTGTACCTCATGCAGCTGGGAAAATTGGGCCTGCAGAGGAGAGGCAGCATAGCGGGAAGAAGCAATCAGAATGTCACTCCACATTCCTTTGCCTCTATTGCTCCCCTCTCTGATCTCCATTTGCCTTTCCCACTGGACCAGAGGATTTAGCAATTGTTGGTATCATTTCTTTCCTTCCTGTCACCTTCGCCTTGTACCATTCTCAACTTCTGTCCTCTAGTAGCATACATACCGCTCTTCTGATTTGGGACCCCTCCCTTCCCTGCCATTCAACCCCCCTGGAGAGTTTGAGTTTTCCTCTCCTGAATTCTAGTAGGTCTCATGGGTTTCCTGTTCTGTCCTGAGCACTGAGCCCCTCCTTCCAAGCCACCTGGGACCCTACTTCTCAGGCCTAGCAGGAGGGATCTAGGGGACTCATAAACTCAGGAATGTGGGAGCTTCCCGAATGTCTCACTACTGCCTGCAATTATAGGCTAAATTGCACCTTGCTTTGGCCCCAGGGCTGACTTTTAACTTCTCTCCTGTTATTTCTCTGTCCTGGTCTGCAAGTTTGAAATTGTCAGGGAACAATTGAGCCCCTTTGGCTGGAGGAGGTGGGGAAGGGCTGGGCTACCTTCTCTACATCAGTGTCCCATGTCTCAGGAATGGCCTGGCTTTGGGAGCGGATGGGAGGGGATAGCTTAGCCCTATATGTCATACTAAGGAACAAAGGAGGCCGGGCAGGGATTCTGCCCAGGAGCTAGAGCTTTCCAAACAAGATGTTCTGAGGAGAGGTAAGAGGAAGTGAGAGAAGAAGAGGGAGAAAGTCTCTTTAATCTCCTGCTCCTACACCCACCCTCCTCCCACACCTCCCTCTTGGCTCCAAGAGAAATGGGCAACAGCTGATGTGCTCTGAGGGTTGCCTGTGGGGAATCCGGCAGTGGGCAGCCTGGCAGAAATGGGCTAGGCACACCACCACCACCACCACCATCATCATCATCACAAAAGGGCTAGATGCCAAAGACATTACGCATGCATTTATTCCAGGGAGGGAATAGTGGAGCTCTCATCCTAACAGGCAGTATATAAGCAGCCTGAGACAGGGACAGCCTGGCAGTGAGATGGCCTGGGAGACACAGAGCTCCATCCCTAGCCCCATCTCTCAGCACTGCATCAAGAGGAAGGGAGGTGGGGCTGAAGGATGTTTACAGACCACCTGGGCCTGGTGGATCCAATCATCTGGCTGTGAACCCTGGAGGAAAAGAAGCTTTGGATTTGCATGCCTAGCACAGAGAGGTGCCAGGAGCCACTTGGGGATTTGTCAGGAGTGTGGAGGAATGGAATTTAGCCAGGATGCCAGACTCTCCAGCAACACAGATTTACAAGGAGAAAGGCCCAGGTGGCCAGGTATAAGTACAAACAGGCTTCAGGAAGGGGTTGGGGGAGCCGGCTGGCTGCCAAGGCTTAGTGCTTGTAGGTCTTCCTGGATGTGGTAGATACAAACTTGACGCTGGAGCCACTGCCCCCTAAGCCCCGACTGCTACTGGTAGTGAAGCCAGAGCCCCCCAGGCCTGAGCTCAGGCTATGCCCACCACTGGTGGTAAAGGAGTAGCTGCTGCCCCCATTGAGACCCAGATTTCCACTTCCAATGCCGCTGCCACCACCATAGCCACTGGACACGGTGTTGGTAACCACAGCTGTAGGAGAAAGGAAATGTCAGAATCACAGGCTGGAGAGAAGACACTATTTTATGCCTCAACTCGTAACACCAGCATCCTCCCAGGTAGAAAGGGCCTTTGTCTCTCTTTTGCTAATTCAGTAGCCTCTCTTTTCTTTCCAGAACCTTCTGGAAAGGAAGCTGTTTCTCCAAGAAGCTGTTTCTCTGTGACCCTGCCACAGTTTCCCTGCTGTTTTGTCTGATTCCCTCTTCCTCCTCTCACTTCCTCTCACTCTTTGGGCCTGGATCTGGACACTCCCCTCTGGGAAGCCCATATTCTTCCATTGGTGTCCCCTAGTGTCAACAGTCTGAATCCCAGAGTTGGGACTGGGGGAGCTAGAATATTACTTATACATCAAATATAAACCTTAACCCTTTTTCTCCTACCAATGTCTCCTTCCAACTTACAATCTCCTTGAACAGTCTAGTGTCTGACTTTGGTCTTTGTGGAAGAAGGACAAATGAAAGATGGTTTCTGTTATATATGAATGGTGCTCTCTATAAAGCTATGTGGAATACCCCTGACCATGACCTTGTTTGGAAACAGGGTCTTTGTGGCTGCAAGCAAGTTAAAATAAAGGCTTTCAGGTGAGCCCTAATCTAGAGTGAACAGTCCTTATAAAATGGGGAAGGCATAATCAGGAATAAGGTCACAGGGCCACAGGGACAGAGACTAAAGGAAGGCTACTGAAAGCCAAGAAAGATCGGGACTGTGACCAGAAACCAGGGAGAGGCCAGGCAATTTCTCTCTTACAAGTTTCAGAGAGAGCAGAGCCTGACACCTTGCCCAGAGCCCCTACACCTGGGCGACCATATTTCTGATAAGCCATCCAGTCTACCCTAGGAAGCTAGCTTAGACCTCCAGGTGTCTTCAAAGAGCAAAGAAGCCTCAAGGTTATACCATCTGCTTCCCAAATTGGTTCGGGGGGTGGGGGGCGGTCTCTACAACACCAGACAAGATAACAGTGATTAAGGATACCCTGCGGCTCTGAGAGTTTTGTCCTCTAAAATGACTGGCTAGAATAATTAATGCATCTACCATCAAGAAAAGCAAATGCACTTGCACAGTATACGGTGCCGAAGTCATTTCTGTTGGCCTCACAATGCCAGCACTGAGATCTAAGTGGCACCCACTGATCGGACCAGCTAGCAGCCTAGCACAGCAGAGCCCAGCAGGCTAGTAAAACCCCTCCTGTCCCACACTGTCCTGTCTGCCTTGATAACCCCTGGCAGCTTCTTGCTGCCATTCTCTGAAGAACTGAGCTATGTGGCTCTTCTCAAAGTGTTGGAAGGAAAAGGAGCCATCTCACTGTCCACCTTCTGGGACCTCGGGTGGTAAATGCTCTCTCCAAAGCCCCAGGTAGTTCCCCAGCATTGATAAGTCCTGTCTACATGTGCTCATCTCTGAGGTGTCTGAGCTAGACACTAATTCCATCAAGACAGCAAGACAGTGTGAAATCCCGGGAGGTGGCAGGGACTTCCTAGACCTCTACAGAACAATTACAGCCAACACCTCATCACTCTTTCCAAGGCATGGCATGATACTCTCACCCCCAGAGACAAAGAATTGTGACATTAAAGTCTGTTACCAAATACAGCTTTCTTTGACTCAAAGCCTCCAATTTTCTTAACATGAACCCTGCCTGTGCCTTCAGGATTCCCACTAATGCCTCCTCCCCTGGAGCAAGCCCATGTTCCCTCCCCAGCCACACACCTCCAAATGACACAAAAAGAGGGTCATACTCACAGATGTTAACTGGAGACACCCCCTCTCCACTCAGCCTGTGGGAGAAGGGAGGGGAAGGAAAGTTACTGTGGTGGCCAGTAGCTTGTGAGCATTTGCAATGATATGTGTGTATGTGCGTGCATGAGTACTCACATGTGCACATCAGTACTGGGGCCTAGAGACTGTCCTTCAGGTTTTTTTTACTCAAAACTGGCACTTTACCATTTGAGCCACAGCTCTGCTTCTTAGTTTTATTTTATTTATTTTAAATTAGAGATAAGAATCTCATAGACTTTCCTGCGTGGGATGGCTTCAAACTATGATTCCTAGATCTCAGCCTCCTGAGTAGCTGGGATAATAGGCATGAGCCACCAGCAGCTGGCTGCAATGACATTTGTTGTTGTTGTTGTTGTTTTTGATGATAGTTTTCAATGCACTGAAGAACCCTGGTTGTTTCTATTGTAGGTTGTAATGATGAAATCATTTTC